TATATATATATATATATATATATATATATATATATATATATATATATATATATATATAGGTGGAGGTTCAAACGAGAACACCTCAATTTTACGAGAACGTGAAAACACCCTTATCACATGTGGTAGTACGCCTGAGGGGACCCTATGATGTGCCGACGACGTGTTCTACGACTTAGGGTGCGCCAAAGGTTGTCTACGTCTATAATCTTCAATTATTTTCGTCACATGCATGAAACATATATGATATTATATATGAAATGGAAAACGATGCCTACCCATATGCAACCATTTAATAATATGTGGATACAAGAATCTGAATTGAAATATAGATGCTTTACAAAAGAAATCATTTTATTTAATTTTCTTTATATTATTATATTATATAAAACTAAAAAGTTTTTCTTTTAACACTACAAACAAATGGCTTTTTTAGACGGAAAATTTCATCGAAAAATTGGGTTTTTGACGGACTTTCACGGCTTGTCTCGACAATGATCATTTGATCGAAAAGCAAAATTATCGACAAAAACCTAAGATAATTTCGACGGATGGATTATGTCGGAAAAACTCATGAAAGTTTTCAACAGACCTTGGTCAACCATGGTTAAACATTTTAGTTAAATTTCCGATGGATTTTATAGGACTCGTTTTGTGGCTTTTTCGATAAAGATGCCATGTATTCTAGTAGCATGAGTCCAATAAATATAGTTACTAAAAATAGTATGTTTTGTGTGTATGGTTTGTTTACATCAAGTGCAATGTCTTATTATAGTAATAAAATTTCTTAACAAGATAGACATGGTCATGTACAATACCTTGAAAAAAGATGATGACTTTAGATCTTATTACTAAATCTAGTGTTAATGTAAGAGATAAATGTCAAGATTATGTGCAAGTTACAGCCCTAGAGAAGCTTCGGGGCATTTGGTTCTCAGGATTCCGACAGAATTTGAAAGTACTGAAATTGTCGATTCTGTTAATCAAATTAGATTCAGGGGTTTAGTTTACCTATGAAATGATTTGAATTCCACACGTTCCATCATTCATGGATTTGGTCATTCCATCACAATTGAGAAAAAAAAATTCAATTTCATTCCATCTCATTTTTTCAAAAAGACAAAATTATCAACATTTTCCGTACTTGATTTACCCAAACTCATATGAGCTCCATCTAGACCATCGTTGATCATCACCGTTCTGAACCATCGCCGACCCTACCAATCTAAACCATCGTCGGCCACCACCGTTCTAAACCACCCTGACCACCACCATTCTGAACAACCGATCTGAACCACCACTGAGCGGAACCCTCTTCGACCACCACCAACCACCATCGATCTGAATCCTTGTCGACCACCATTAACCACCGCCGATCACCACCAATTTGAACAACCATTTTGAGCTACCGTCGATCAGGACCTGAACTACTGTCGATCAAGACATAAACCACCGCCAACCACCACCAATCTGAACCACCGTTCTGAACTACCGTCAATCAGGACCTGAACCACCGCCGACCGCCAGTCAACCAACGATCTGAACTATCGTTCTAAACCACCGTCGACCATCAACGATCTGAACTACCGTTCTGAACCACCGTCGACCACCACCAATCCGAAACACCGCTGACCACCACCGTTCTAAACCACAACTGACCGCCGTAATGAAAAGGTAGTTTGCCCATTTATCGTTTATCCATTCCAATTGCAAAGCTACCTTCTACCAATCAAAAAGGAAAATTTCAAATCATTTAACAGATTTTTTTCCCAATTCATTCCAATCAAACATATAATCAAATTTCATTTCAATTCTTTAAAGTTATTTTACATATTTCATTACTTCAGAAAATATTCTTAACCAAACATCTCAATAGACATACAAACCAGTTAATAATTATTAATATTTTTATTAATGATATATATTTTTAAATAAAATTGAAGTTGAAAATCAATTAGAAAAGGTGGATAAAAAAAAGTTGGTGCATGACATGAGCTTTAACATACCCTTAAACATGGTAATTAGGATAAAAAAAACAAGTATATAAATATATCCGATATCGTCTTTTAAATAATAAAATGATACAAGTATCGAGTATCGTCCACAGGGATTGTAGTAAAAATGATTGTGGTGAATTAGCACTAAGTTATAACAACATAAAATAAAAACAAACAAGGGTGTAAGACTTTTTTTGGTGAGACTTAGACACAAATTTTAGCAGACCAATGTTGTAGCATTGTTTCAGCATATAGCAGGCATAACTAGTTCCACCATTTATTTTGAGGGTATTCCTCTCGGACTTTAAATATTTGCATTAATGTTTAGATTCAACCATACTTCTCTGTACAGTATCAGACCGGTGGTAATGCAAAATGAAGTCCTCAAAATATATGGATAACAAATCGGTGTGTATAAAATCACCCTCTCGAGCAGATTTCATGCCATTCAGATTGATGTCTTCTGAATGGCTTGTACACTCTGAAGTTTTTGATGTATAAATATACAATTATTGAAGGTTAGAAATTTAAAGAGTAAACAACATAAGAGATTATAGTGTCAATATTAGGAAAAATATGATTTTATTTCAATAAATAAAATCAATAAAAAAAAGAAATGGAATATTTTGTATTTAATTGATTTGAAATATAAATGCAAAAATAAAAACTAGAAGGACTAGTTCTGCCAAATGAGGAAGATTGATTTGGAAATGATTAAGATTTGAGAAAATCATTCTCATATCATGTTTTGGGGATTTTTTTTTTATTAACCTGGATATCCAACCCGCTATACGAGCCGAATAATCCTAGAGCGATAACCTGCTTTGCAGATAGCTCGGAGTCACCACATTTGAACCTCCGTGGCCACAAGGGGATTTTTATTCCTCTGTGGATTTGAACCTGGGACCTCATAGTATTTTTGACCTTTGGAGTCAAGCTCAAACCAATCAGGCACCACCCTTCTGGTTATGTTTTGGGGATTTAAGGACAGATTTGACATCCTATAGATTGGAGTTCTCATTTGAAACTTTGTAGAGTGTAAGAGAATAAACCTCTTTGGAATTTCGGGATTTCATCAAGAAACGAGAGAAATATTGAGTTTGGAGCGGCATAGGGTCATTCCGCAGATAAACGATGATTGGAGGTAAAATACTCAACCAAAATTGATGTATAATATATGTTGGCTTTGTTTTTCAATTACCTTTCCATTGTTATAAGTTTCATGGGCTATGGTGGCCTGTACATCGAGTGGTTTGACCTCGAAGCTGCAACGGCGAAGGCTCGCCAAGATTCGGGTACAAAAACTCAAAATACGAGTTTAATAACGGACCGTTGAGGCTGTAAATTTGGGCCACATGAGGTTCACTTATGGATATTTGATGACCTTTGTAGGGGGAGCAGTATCATCGCAATCAAGGCTGCAAAAGTGTGTTGCTTGTCTACAACTGAGGCTGAGTATATCGCGGCAAATGAAACATGCAAAGAATTACTGTGGCTGAACCATTTGTCTTACGAATAATTCGACCTTTCATGGAAGAACAAAATATATCAAGATGAAGTATCATTGGATCCGAGAAGCTCTTGAAGATGGATTGGTTGAACTTGATAAAGTTCATAACGATGATAATGGTTCTAATATGTTGACAAAGGTCTTATAAAGGGAAAAGCTCAATGTATGTTGCTCGATCGTCGTGATGGCAAACTCTTCCTCGTAGGCAGAAGGGGGGAGATTTGTTGAGTTTTATTTGTTTATTTCTAGCCCATGAGGGATAGATAAATGGCCCAATAATAGTGGCCCGATACAAGCTATATATAGTCTTGTATCCTAAGGCTTTTGTATGAGAAGAAAATGTTCACAAAATACAAAACCGAGAGAAAAATGAGAAAAGTTCGATTATACTTTTCGGGCAAGTACAGCTGCGTCGTTTCGTCTATTTCCGGAGTTTGAACCGTCGGCTTATAGAAGTTTTGGAGATCTTTATCTACATTCTGAATGGTGGAGATCTGTTTTGGAGGTCCGAAAGTCATTCATTTTCTGTTCGATATATAGCAGTTTTCCGGGTGATATTTCTCCCTCTTTTCTTTTTGTTTTGATTACATACTTCTTGATTATTTGTTCCAATAGTATGATGATTGTTGTTTGCCTCTAGTTTTATCTATTGAAGACTTGTATTTTTTTGTTAGTGGTAGTGGAATTTAAGCGACCTAACGGTCCCGTGGTTTTACTCTCGCCTTGAGAGGTTTCCACGCTAAAATCCGTATGTTACGTGTGACTTATCTTTGTTGCTTATTTCTGATTTGGGGGGCTGATTATTATTACATTTAGTATACCTATTTGTTTTCATCCTCATACGTTCATATAAGTCGGAAAGTTTTGTCCAACGAAGGTTTATTCCACAGTGTTGTTCCCAATGTGGTGCGTTTTTCCCAACCGGCTCTCTTTTCTTTTCCAATTTGAAACTCTCATTTTCATAAAAAGGTGAAAAAAGAAGATGTTACCTTCATATCGTGTGAAGGTTTGTTGTAAGACCTGTAAAGATAACCTTTTTATCGTATGAAGATTGATCATGTGACAGGAGATTCACAGTTTCAGGTCATGTGAAGGTCAGAACCTTCACAAATGATAACGAAACTTTCACACAATATAAAAGTACGTTCATACTTCTCTCATTCTGACGACATGATCACGACTCTGGACGTTTACCACGGATTTTCGAAATACAAAGCCCAAAGAAGGAACACATCCACAGAATGAAAATATTACTGTCAAAACTAATCAAACCAAAGTAATTCATGAAGCTACAATGATTTGTATATCATGCAACCAAATTAAGATGTTTCTAACTCAAATATCACAACTTTTTGCATCATGGGCTGATAAAAATACAGTAAAAAAGCACAACATAAACTATTTGACACTTTAGCAGCACCATCTTATTATGTTCCTGCTAGATCAAATGAAGCGGTTTTTCAGCGAGGCACAACAATGGATTCTATTAGCTCTTGAAGTGGCGCCAACTCCTTGTTGTCGATCAAACCGAACTCCTGCACACAGAAACGCGTTGAATCAAAGCAAAGAACACACAAGTTTCTTCTCATAAACACACAAAAATACCGGTTGCATAGTGCTGACTATTGGAGTCTTACATCGGCTAGACTTAGGGTTTGTTGTTAGCAGCTTAACGGGACTCACAGCTTATTCGGTCAGCTATACATGATTATTTGGTAGAGACTTAATGATAAAGAAAGTGGCTTATTCAGTAAGCTTCTAGGGGGAGCGTTATGCAGAAAGCCAAGATTTTCACAAACTTACCCCAATTAAAAAACACGTTCATTCAATCTATGAAAAAACCCTCCAAAACAAAAACTTTCTCAATCTATAGAGACAGATCAATCAACAAAGATAACTTTATCCATTCAAGAAGCCAACTAAGCAGCCCCTTGGACCATTTCTCCTCAATATATGTTGGAACCTCTTTTCTAGAGAATAGCTCTTTTGGAGGGTAATCCAATGAGGTTTCACATATTTATACATGGTATCAGAGCCAAGTCTACCACTCTGGGACAATATGTGCCCATCTAGCCTGTTTAAGGGTTGTGTTTGAGTCCTACGTAGGCTAGACTTGGACCATTTATCCACAATATATGTTATATCCTCTCTTCACTCCTAAAGGGCTCTTTGGAAAGTAATCTGATGGGGTTCCACATATTCTCACACAAGCTAATACAATGACTTTAGGCTAATACAATGACTTTTGATGTAGGCTCTATGTTGTATCAAAGCCAATAATAACCGAAACAAAATATTCTATAAATATAAAAAGAAGAAATTTGCAATCGGGGACATAACCAAAGTCAAGATTTGTGTAATATTGGGAATAAGCATTGTATACCAAGAACACTTACACAGGTAAACAATATGAAATGCTTGAAGCATGTATTTAGATGTGCTTCCTCCTTCAGACTCACAATCTTCTGAAAGTGTGTATGGTAGATATGAGCATATACGCGAAATAAGCGTTTAAATATCGTCTTCACAACATCCCTGAAATTGTGAGGAAATGGTGCACCTGAAAAAGTAGTTATATATGGTTGTTATAACTTCTAAACTGAGAAAGGTAACAGAGGATCTTCGATCCTCATTCATGGAAGAAAAAAGAACTACCAAAACGATAAGAACAAATATATATACGGCCTCCCTCAATTACTGTTTGATCAGTAATTACATATATATATTACCATCTCATAATGACAATAAAGGAGGAAGCTTGTGTACGAAAATCAACACCATTTATAATTTGTAGTATGAAAATGGACATAGAAACCAAATCAAACGCGTCCGTAAATCCCAGCAGAGGTAGGGTCCCCCCAGGAGGGGACGCAGGCTTTACCTCTACAAAATGTATGGAGATATATAGATACAACTAAAGAAACAAAGATTACCGAGCTTTTGAGGAAATATGGATTCATCATCCAATTGGGATTCAATCCAATCCATCAAGTACTCGACATATTTTGGTGCTGAGACTTCAATAGGTTTCTTGATTTGCACACCGTCGGCCCATCTGTATTCATACCTGAAAGTTCCATTTGACAAAAATCAGGAGCTTCACAATTTACATCACTATAAATGTCAAAGACCGAAAAGAAGTCTCAGTTAAAAATAAAATCACTCGACTTGGATTCTGATGACACTTAATCCGGCCAAATATTTGCAACAACAAAAAGAGGATGAAAGAAGAAGAAAAAAAGCAGCTTTTTGGCAGATCCCTGAAGCTCGACCTCCAGATTTAGCATAAATTCATTGCAGATTTTTTAATTATTTTCGTCGTTATCCATTCTTCATTTTCTGACTCTCGTCTTCATTTCTCCACGATATAAACGGGACCCACGGTATCAACGAACAACCGAAAAGCTTTACCAGCAGCCTTTGGCCAACTGGCACCCATATTGAACCAAGTGGTTATAGGTTCAAGATTCATCATTGTCATGGGTGTGTCTATTTCTTTGTTTGTTTGTATTTTCCATCCTCCAAGAAAGATTAAAAGACAAAAAAACAACCTAAAAGCTCGTGGGGAATACTCTCTTTACAGCCTGTTTCAAGCTAGTTTGCCAGCACTTAAGGTGCACGTATTACCACCATCGTGTTGGAGTGAAATGATGACTATAAAGCTATATTCCCATGATAGCACATTTGAAAGAAAACTCGAAATAAAGAGAGACTTTGATCCTCAGAACTTCATTAAACTACCCTCATCGTAAAAAGACAAGCATTGATTCCATTTGGGGTGGAGATGGAGATCAATTTGACTTTCGCATGTAATTTAGCTTTTTTCCATTAATTCAAATTTTGGACAATTAACTATGAAGGAACTAACTAAGGGAGTAAAATGGTTAATTTAGTTAAAATATTTCCCCAACAGAATTTCATTCAATATGGAACCTTACGGGCTTGGCAGAATCAACGAGGAAAGAAAACCCTGCTGAGCTTGACTCTAGTTCGACTTTGTGAAAACACATACAACCAAGACTTCTTTAAGATGTTATATATATATATATATATATATATATATATATATATAGGGTTGGGTTCACGTGAGACCAAAGGCTTTTTGTGAGATCCGTAAGACCAATTTATGTTCATTGATCAACTTTATAAGCTAATGATCCAATGGTCTAAAGTTGCTCGGTGACAATTTTGTGATTATTGAGAAGTCTCGTGGTAATTTTGTGATTATGAATGTTCAGATTGTAGATCTAATCCAATGGTTGAGAATTGGTCTTATGGGTCTCACGAAAAACCCTTGGTCTCACATGATCCCAAGTCTATATATATATATATATGCATACATACTAGTAGTGTGTTTGTGGATGCATCAGGATGTAAAATTCTGTTGTAAACTGAAAATGGAAAATCAACGCAATTCCTCCTTAGAAAGGAAAATTCAAGATTTTATGTTTGAACAAAATAGAAATCACAATCTCTGTAATCATACACATTTCTACATCCTAATGACTAAATATGCTAAATTGTTATGTTTATTTTTTCGAAACACGGGCTTAAAAGATGATCATCTATGTGAAAATTTATTATAATGACATGGACTAATCTCTCAAGCCACCTCCAACTATACCCACTTTCCAACGACTCGATGCACGTTTCTACACTTTATAACAAGAGAACAAAATAAAATCGAAGACTTAAATTGCATTTTATTAGGGTACTCTTATAGGCATGGAGCCCACTCCACCTACGTGGACTTGCTTTCGGCCAAAAAATTTCAACCATAACTCTTAATGCATTAGTGATTTATACTTAATGCTTCATAGATATTATACTCTTGAAATTTAAGAGTTTTTACTAAATGCTTTATAAGATAGTATGCGTGTGTGTGTGTGTGTATATATTGTTTATGTGTGTGTAAGATTTCATCCCCTATCTTAACTTTATCCCTTTGGGTTATTGCTTTGAGCATTTATTAACATTCTAAATTCTCCCATACTTGATATTCATGCATGACTGAATATATAACAAAAGATTTCAATTATTACCACTGTCTGATAGATGAAACATAATAATAATTATTTTTACCTAAACAGAAGGTAAAGATGGTTGATGTAAACGAAGAGGGTTTGTTTATAACATATAAATCTTAAACCTTTTCGTATAGATCATGCATACATGGCGTGCATCTTGTTCCTTGTCGTAGTGTGTGTGTGTGTGTGTGATGTATATATAGAGATCCAGGCATTAAAGCATTCATAGTCTAGGAAACATGTGATAATAAAAGTAGTATTATATAACTAAGACATACTTGGGGCCTGCAGTCATAGTTGGACAACTCTCTGGTGTACAGAACTCGGTTAAGGTACCATAAAGAAGATTCACCTGGTTGAAGAAATCCACAGCTGAAAATCAAAAATCAAACCACTCTCGTTCAGAATTGAAAAAAAAGTAAGTCTATTGTCTTAATCTAGTTGATGGTCATAAGAAAATGAGCACGATAGTCCTATAGAGTGGGCATATTCGTAAAAAAAATGACAAATTCGGGACATGTATAAAGGACCTATATGAAAATCCTTGATCTCAGAGCCATTTCCAAGAGAAATTTTACGTAGAACGTAGGCAGAATTTCACATTCTTTTAAGTATATAAGATTTAGTTACAGCAAATACTCAGGCACACTCCTGGCTTTTGGTTTGAACCCTTGACCTCCTAAGAGGTTGGCTGGCTCTACTGGTAACTCGGGTACCGTTGGGCCAATGACCCTTTGGTCATTTCACATTCTTGTAGAACATACCAAATCTAAAGACTACTGTTTTCCATGGAAGTCATACACAAACACAATTAGAAAGAGGAAAAGAGAGTAACTGTTGACAGCAAGCCATTCATTTATATCCTCCCCCGGTGGAAGTCTTACAGCTTCTCTCAGGTTTCCACTACCCAAAGTAGCATCGATGTGTTTCCTTAGCTGAGCACCCTGCACACACACAATGAAATAAGTTCATCTACTGATAGAAATATGAAACAAAAGGCAGTTATTGAGTTGCTATTAATTTGTTGTTCGTTTAAAAAAAAATGCCAAAAGATGAGGAAGGATGGATGGAGAGAGCTCAACCTTACTCCCTGAGGGTGCACTTTTTTTGGGACGAAATGTCCTCTGATTCCTGTAAAAATTATCAGAATCAGTAAATATTTGGTAAGAGTTTATGCAGCATCAGTTATCAAGATTACAATAAAGTTCACATACATTTTCATGTAATGATCATAGGAAATCCCCTAGTCATTCCACATATCAGTCAACATTCTCTTTAATGTTCATTTCTATTCAAATTCACTGATGATAAGAACAAGTGACGCTTTCTTCCTTATTGGATGCTCAAAATTCTGAGGACAAGAGGATTGACTGAAGCATGATGTTTGGTGGATGATTTATATATGCAATAAACTCGTTTTGTCATCACAATTGTACATATTTTTACTATAAAGTGTTCCATAGTGATGTCAAGCGTTACAGGTCTTGCAGGGAAACTTATGTATAAACAAAGGCTCTACATTTGGTTATATGACAGATTTGAGAATGTCACTTCCATACACGATAATGCCTAGAAACTTGTCAGAAGGTTGTGGATTTAAAAAACAGCAATTAATAAACCTGTAGTTTAAGTTCCTCTGCTTTGCAGAAGGTAGTGTCCTTGGTTTAAAACAATCATCAAATCTTTAAGTCCCATCCACACAAAAACTAACCCACCCAAATCACGAAACACCGCCCTTTTCAAAAGCCAAGGTAAGACATCACTCATCAACCATCAAAACCATTACGAACAAACGTGTGGATAGCAGAAATCCATAACTCAGAATTTGCAACAGTCGTAGTATATATTAAGCACAATTTATAAGTCGTAACGAAAACCTCTAAGTTGCACACTAACAAATTCTTTAAAGTACAGGAGGACTAACATAATTCACCAACGAGATTCTAAACAATCAAATCCACTAACATACAAAATAGAATCTGGAATCAAGTCGATCAACCTTCTTGCCTTATCAAGCATTTCTAATCTTTTGGCAAGTGTGAGACCATCACTTGCATAATCCAGTCCTAAACATTGTTCCACAAAGTTGCACCGAAAATGATCAAGCTAACTATTTCTCACAAGTTGTCAAATACCCATATCAACAAATCTTAATCCATGCCTAATCGTCTGAATTAGTTGCTTCCTTTCCAAAGACCCAATTAATCAACATCTAAACTCTATAATCCATGTTCCTAATAATAAGAATACACATCCATGCATTTGAACACAATGTGCAAACTGAATTTTGAGGTCAAACCATGAGTTGTCGATTTCAAAATTCAAAATTTGACATGGGTATTCATAAAAATATAACAAGAATCTTTTTCTCTTTAGTGAATATCATCAAGTCAATACGGTGTCTCATAATCTTCTCAAAATACTCAGAATCCAACCCAAATTCAAAATGGAAACGAATCACTAATCAAATCGCATGTTCGTATTCGTGTTTGGTAACGGAGACAATGTAAATGACGCTAATTAAGCATTACACCAATCGAAAAACACCAAATTCATCATAATCACAACAAATCAGAAATACCCAGATCAAGAAATTCAATGCAATGCATCCCAAAATCATCCAAGAAACAAATTCCCAAAGACATAATACGTCTGATTAAAACTATGAACAAATCAATATAAAAAGAAGAAGCGATGAGCTTAATATTCTTGCCTGCCGAGACCGAAAAGGCTCATGACTACGGAGAGAGGACAGAAAAAGGTGTTTGATTGATTGAAAGAAAATGGAGAAAATAGAGGGATGGAGAAAAGGGGCAGCGAAGGAGGAGGGATCTGCCCGATAAGAGAGGCTCCTCTTAATTTTTAATGGGGGTGGAGGGTACTTGATTATTCGCTGGGTGCAGTTTTAGTTTTAATTCCGTCCAAAAAGCTGTCTTGCACTGACTCCGCATCCAATACGTTTGTCCGCCACCTGCATGAACTGACACGTGCCCAACTTCAATTTTTACCGTTTTCTATTCGAAATTGTTCGACATTTGATGGATAAAGATTACAAGATCGGGATACCCAGAAAAGGGTTTGGGTCTCATGCTTATTGGGTTCAATCTTGAAGATGGTAGTCGATCGGATTTGTGTTTTGTGTAATGGATTTGAGGATTCGAAAAAATGTTCGACTTTGTGTGTTTTTTGTTGGATGGCATACAATAAAGTTTATGTCTTTGGTCTTACTTGCTTCAAATCTTGTAAAGATTTAGGTTCGGTTTATTCAATTATGCAAATCTTTGTACAACGTCGTCACATAATGTATGATATCAACCAAAAACTTAGTGGTTGTTTGTTATCTTGTTTGGAAGAAAAAAAAAAGTAAGCTTCTTAATAGTTCTAAAACCCTCTGAATGGTTTTCTATCATGGGTCTTCCTTAATGATTAAACGCCCTAATTTCATTGTAAATGTTTACCAAATAGTTATATTTCATTTTTCACTATATCATGAGAACCTTTTAATCACTCTGATCACTTAATCATTCTGCGCCAAATCATTCAGCAACAATCAAACATCCCCTTAATGTACTATGAAATAGATCAAATAATAAAGAGAAACAAAAGAAAGATGTGTAACGTATTTTTGATGAGATTACATTTCCATATTTTTCTATGGATCTACAAACGATTTGGGTGTCGAGTTTATCGATGACAACAATAAATTCAATAACAGGCTCGTTTTCGTAATGTACAACAGATTCACCACCACCGCCACCATTACGACTGTCATGTTCTATGACTTTAACTAGTCGAGGTATATATAAGTCGACACAATTAGAGACTGTAATGCTTTTAAAGTTCTAGAGCATTCCAAAAATGGCAAGTTATTTGCTTGAGAACATGATGACGAGGATTATGTAATTCATGACAATAAAGCACAGGTCACAATCGGGTCCAACAACACTACTCACATGGGGATTTGGTTTTAAATGCAAGTCTTAATAGAAAAATATTCGACTTTTCTTTGATTTTAATCGACTGGTTTTTAGAAATAAAACCCAGATGGAACAATCATTTCAAATGTTTTAGTGACGATTGTGTAATTTGGACCAAACATTGTCTAAAATGATATCGATATCGAACACGCCCCTGCCTCTTTGCAACAAATGGAGTTGCATTTTTTCTGCCCATGGTGTTAATAAATCTGGGTCCCGTTTGATTCACAAGATTTCTGTGGAATCTGAAAGCACTGGAATGATCCGATGTCACCACCCCACCGCCCTACCATCGCAGTCGCCACCACCACGTCGCCATCGATTCGATTTCAGTTCCTAACAACAAAACACTTGGTTAACAAACGTTCCGCTCCATTGATGTTCTTGAAGGTGAGTTACGTGTGAACATGCTGAAGTTGCTAGTAATCAACTATTTATTAATAAAAAAAAATTAGGAGTCGTTTACCCAAATGCTTACCGGGTCAGCGCTTATCGGTAGAAGTTAACACTATAATTTATTTTACCAGGTAAGATGGTAGTATATTAAAATGGTATCATATCTAATAATTTATCCGGGTAAGAGTCATCACCATCATTTATCAGGTAAGACTCATCTATCTTTATCATTGTTTTTATCGGGTATGATTTTCGATTCTTACCATATTCATCAGGTAGGAAAAATTACCCAATAAACACTTACTGGGTAGGTCTTTAATAAACCACCCCATATTCATATATAAAATGAAAGAAATATCTATCTAAAAAGTGTAAAAAGAAAAAAGCAAACAAATAAAATTCATTTACTTGTGCAAGCATTTCATCCACCCATCTGAATTCCATTGTTACCACGCATGGCCAAACCCTAGATCTGCCCCTTCAAAGGTAACCCTTCTCTCTCCCCATCCAGACACGTATATCTCTGCTTACATTTATATGACATATGTGTAATTCTCTCTTCTATATCTATCTATTACAGCTTTTTTTCTTCTTCTTCTTCAAAAACGACAACATACTCTGAAGGAAGGAGATGAGTGGCAGCACCACAGTGGCGGTAGCGGCAGCGGCGGCTGGCAGTGGTATATCTGGTTACCGGCCGCCGTTCACGCCGGTGCAGTGGCAGGAGCTGGAACATCAAGCTCTGATATACAAGTATTTGGTGGCAGGGGTGCCTGTACCCTATGATCTTGTTGTTCCGATTAGAAGGAGCCTGGAAGCTTTATCTGCTAGTTTCTTTAATCATCCTACCTGTAAGTTCACAAATCTTGGATACTGTGTATTTTTTCCAGTTTTTTTGCGATCGATAAGGTAGGGTTTGACTTTTCGATGTCAAAGGGTTACGTAGAAAATCTATGAAACAATGTTATTTTATTTGCAGTTAAGTTTTATGCTCTTCCCAATTCCGTCTTGAAGAGCTTAAGATCCATTTCTGTAGCGTTTTATATTGAAGATGGAGGGAACAATTTGACTTCATAACCAGATGTAGTTTTTTTCCCTTTTTGTTCTTCCTGGTTTTGAAAGGAGTCATTTGTAAAAATGATCTTTTATTTGGTTTCAAGTGTTTCTTGCTCTTTGAAAAGCTTAATATGTAGCTTAAATTGTGAGTATATGTTTGTGGGTTCAGTGATGAATACATAGGGTTCTTGTTTATGTGTTTGATTTAAATCAAACATACTCTCTGTGTGTGTATATGCAAACACAACCAAGCTAAAACCAAACCGAACTAGCCCAATATGCGTAGATTAGCATATATTGGGCTAGCATCTTAATTGTAGATTCATATCAGATTTGTATAAAACAATTGCTTTTCTTTATCATAAGGGAATTCATTTCTTTTCCAGTATATCTACCTCTAGTGATAGATTATGCTAGAGTTGTTTTAGTAAGGGGGTTGATATCCCCACCCCCCTACATCACTTTTCACCCCCTCCTCCTCACACCAACCCTCACTCTCACCCTCACAACTTTCCCTCACTCTCACCCTCACATACTCACCCCCCTACACAATCTCACCCCCCTCACATGCACCCATAGGAGGGGGTGGGGTTAGAAAAACCCTTTAGTTTAGTAAAAGGATGAGTTATGATGGTGTCTCTTGTGTGTCAGTTATTTTTTAGAGGTTCACCAATCTCTAAAAATAAAATCTGATTTCAACTGCTTGTTGTACTTGTACATGCTTCAGTTTCGAACTAAGGGGCTGTTTGGTTGGTTTTCCATTAAGTCTTGTATTGATAAAGCTGTCCGTGTGGATTAATCTGACTGAATAGATTCGCAAGGTTTTTGTTTGGGAGGGGCTTTCATAGATGGAAGGAGCGTGTTTTTTAGTTGTGAGGTGTAAGTCCGGGAAAAACATGGCTTGCTGTATAAAGCCCCCCTGAAGCTTACTGAATAAGCCACTTTCTATATCATTAAGCCACTACCAAACAGTCATCTATAACTGACTGAATAAGCGTTAGTCTCATTAAGCTCATTAAGCTGCTAATGGACAGGCCCTAAATCTTATTCTGCAATTTTGAACATTTTGAAGCATTGGGCTATTGTTCGTATTACGGGAAGAAATTTGACCCAGAGCCAGGGAGGTGTCGGAGGACAGACGGGAAGAAGTGGAGATGCTCGAAAGATGCCTATCCTGACTCCAAATACTGTGAGCGCCACATGCATCGTGGCCGCAACCGTTCAAGAAAGCCTGTGGAATCTCAATCTGCTTCTCAGTCATTGTCAACTGCAGTTTCGCTAGTCACTACTGTGAGCAGTACTGGTAGTGGTAATAGAAGCTACCAAGGTCTTGGCAGTGGAAGCTTCCAAAACTCACATTTGTATCCCACTGCCAGTTCAGGGAGTTTTGATTTTGGAGGCAATGTATCAAAGTTGCAGATGAATGCTAATACCTATGGAATCAACAACAGTTTTAGGTACTTGTTTTCTATCCATCACAATATCATTTTGTTGAATGTTTCATGTTCATTTGCATGCTAATTTTAATATTGGGTATTTGAAAAAAACTACTTTTTTTGCCGAAGTTGGGTAACTGAGAAGTATCAAGTATGATATAGTACAACATTTGTTTAAAGCTATTTGCTATATACTGAGACTTTCTTCTTTACACGATGAACTCAAGAATAAATTTGGTATAAATTTATGAACTTAGCTATAAGGAGGTGTGAAAGAAGGGTCAGTGTGAGATATTGTGCGAGGCTTCTAAAACCAGCATTCTTAAGGCCAAAGAGTCGGCGACTCCTATTTCTCAGTGATATTCCATGATCAAGACAATTGGCAAAAAAAAGTTATTTATTTATATTCTGAATATGTTTTTCTTTCATGAGTTATTTCTTTCTCATGAAAGTAACTTATTAAATCTACTTCAAATGCACATTACCGTTTCAGAGTTGTGACGATATGGCATAAGTTCGCTAAGTGTATAATTAGGTTTGGCACATGAAACTTGTAGGTTTTCAATTTTGAGCCCATAAGTTTGCTAAGTTTATATTTAGGTTTCGGGCGGGTTTTTTGTTTATTTCTTAATTTCAATCTCTAAACCCATCTTGTATGTCACACATATGAGATGTTTCTTAGGTGTTGATGAACGACTTCAAATTTGAGAGATCTGATCGTACAAGAACTAGGATATCACAACCAAAACTGTAGCCCCAATAAACAGTCAACAGAAACATAGCTGTCGTTGTAAGCTTCAATTTCTTGTCGTCATCCTCTCTGTCACACTAGAGTTCCTGTTGCTAGCCGGATTAACCATCAAGATCCCTAACTGCTAGAAAAGATGGTCAAAATTGTTGTCATGATGTCTCTATGGGTAGTCTTTCAATTAGATCTTTCACCGTAGACAATAAAACCCTTTTCAACATTGCTACTAATTGTGAGTTGTGTTACTGTGGTCAACTGCTTGACTTTTGGTAACATCGTGGAACATATTGGGACAGTGGGTCATCTTCTTCAGGAAGTCGTGGAATGAATATGGACCTTCGTCTTATATCCTTGAATGTTTGAGAACTAGAAAACAATAGAGATATTGTCTGGGTTAATCTCAAAAGTCAAAAGGCTCTTTAAAAATATCGGTGACCCAACATTTTGACCGTTCAACCAGGCGATCAAGAGAGTAGTTCAATGGGTCAACCCATAAATTAGAAGTTATTTATAATCTTCTTCTACTCTTATCTTATGTAAATTTCTTTTCTTTGTGTACTTTTTCATTCAACACTTTGACATTTTGTAAATAATAACCACAAATGTAGGAAATATGAGTCTCCTAATAATGACCACTGTCATCAGAGCTTCTACAGATGCAGATCATGGATTTAAATGAGAATGTTTCAGAACATAACATTCTGACAAGTTTAGTGGCATCATTGTATATGGAAGTAGCATTCTCAAACCTGTTAGAAGGTTATGGATTTAAAAGAAAACTGTTAGGTCATTTAACCAAAGGTCCCCTCGTTTGTTGCGTTTCTGTTAAATCAAGCTGAACTTTGTTGGACATTGTTTACATGCTTTATCTTTGCAAAATTCGGCATGCAGGTACAATCAAGGACTAACCGCTGATGTGGATGATCGAAATTACTCTTCTGGAGCTTCAGCAAGTGCAAGAGGGGGTCTAGGCATGGAATCTAATGCGGACAGTAGTACATGGCGTCTGGTGCCTAATCAAGTTCCCACGACCTCCTTGATGGAATCAAGAAATGACTCTTATCTACATACCAAATCCCCACAACTAACCATGGTCAACGCTTTTGAGCCTGTGATCGATGCTACGACAATGTCAAAGCCAAGTCAACAACATTGCTTGTTTGGAAGCAAGATTGGGTCACCGGTTGAAGTGAAGCACGAGCAACACTCGATGCGCCCATTCTTTGATGAGTGGCCAGAAGCCAGGGAACCGTGGTCCAGTCTTGATCCTGATAGCAAGAACTCGTTCTCAACAACTCAGTTATCCATCTCAACGGCACCTGAATACACTGCCCGAAGTGACTGCACCCCAAATGGTGTGTAAACAGTATATATACACATATACAGAGGGAGGTTCAGGGGAAAACTCTAGAAAAACTAAGGAACATCTTGGTATCTGTATGCCATGCACATGTGGATACAAGTAATTGAAGTTGTTCCCTGGTTTCTATGCACGTGAGCATGTTATGCACAAGCGCATACCGGAAAAATTACTTGCATACACATGTGCATACCATACAAATTATGGTTATCAGGGTGTTCCTCAGTTTTTCATTTTTTTTACGATTTTCTCCTGTACCCAATCCTACATATACACTGAAGCTTAAGTTTATTATCTTGTGCAGATGGTTAACAAATGGGTGGTTGGTATGATGAAGAAAGCTTGTGGGAAAGATGGAAGTTTTTTATGTTTATTATGTGTATTTGATTATGTTGTATGATCTTGGATTACAGTACAACATGTTAAATGTAAGTTTGGAATGTTGACTTTTGTGGTGTGCAGGTCAACGTAGATGTTGCATCCCCCAGTTCAAGTATATGCTTGTTTAATCAAACTCTTTCTGGAATAAATGTTGATCCCTTTTGAATTGTACATTATTTTCCTTCAAATGGATATGTATAAATTGATTCTTCATGCTCTTTTCTTTTTTGCATTTCTTCAAAAATAGATATCGTTATATGCCATTGGGTTTTTTTTATTAATTTGGATATCCAACCCGTTATGTGAGCCGACTAATCCTAGGACGACCACTTGCTTTGCACGTAGCCCAGAGTCATCGCATTTGAACTTCCGTGGCTACAAGGGGATTTTTGTTCCTTCTTGGATTTGAACATGGGACCTCTTGGCACTTTTGACATTTGAAGCCAAACTTAAACCAATCAGCACTACTTTTGTGGTTGCCATTGGGTTTTTTGCAATTATCTTTTAGTAATTGATTATTACATTATGCAATCCAATATTTCTGGGATTTTATCATAAATTCAAGGATTTTGATTCCGGACTTTTCTTTAAACCATGAACTCGAACAGAATTCAATTCCAAATCCCACTAAATTCTGTGAAAGATTCGAAGTCAGTAAAAGACAAATGGTAGTTTAGTAAAAGCAATATAAACAGCAGGAAGTTGCATCCTTTAACAAAGGTAAAAATTGTTACATGATGGTCTGATTCTGCAACTTAATCTTGGGTTTCAAGAAAGATGATGAACTAAAAAGTTCTTTCTCCTATGCAACATACGAATTTCTATCTCGAACAGATCTATAATTTCTAACAATGATTCAGATGTGTATACGTGCTGTTTCTAGTGTATTTCACAACTTTGACACTCGAGTTTTAGCATCAGCTAGCGAAGGTTACTTGAGCAAGCATCGTCTCAGAAATTTACAAACCAATAAACGGGTTTGATGGGTGTGTTTCATACCTCAGCGACGATTTTTAAGTTGGTCAAAGTATTCTAAAACCAGCTTTGCATTTGATGACATTAATCGGTTTATGCCTGAAAAATCTACCCTTTTGTCTACAGACTGTTCATGGTTGAAGGTAGTCATCCACCTTTGCATGCCAGATATATCTACTGGTCTTCTTGTGCCAAGAAGACCACTAGATCGAGCAAAATCAACTGCACCGCTTCTTGTAGCCATAAAAGCTGTACAGTAAGGAAGTTAATAATAAGTAAGATCTATAATTTATAAAAGCCAAACCAAATGGACCCAGTAATATCATGCAGAGGTAGGGCCCAGGGGTCAAATGTACACACACCTTGCCTCTAGCGCAAGGGGTAGAGAGGTTACAAAAAGAATTATAGATTGGAAAAGTTAAAAAGGTACCATATATGATTTCAAAAGTCAATTGTTTGCGCAGGTATAAAGAAATTATTCACAGCTAACCATTGCAGAATCACATATAAAGGGATTAGGGTCATAGGCAAGTTCTACGTACATCTTTCCAGACCCTACCTCTGTATGGGGTATACTGGGTTTGTTTGGTTTGATCTTATATAAAGTGATTAGGGTCAGAAAAACAGGAGAGAAGTGTACCACTAAAAGGAACTTTTAGGAGGCGGTTTGCAGGAAGACCAATGCCGACGCCAGCAAGAGTGATGCCGACACTAAATCCAACACCACAACCAGCACCAACATAGCCGATGACATCAGGGCCAAAACCAGGACCCCATCCGATTCCACAACCAACGCCTATTCCCATGCCCCAAAAGGCTCCAGATGTGGGATGCACAGGGTTCCATCTCTCATACCTCCTAAACAACCCCTTTATGATCATTAGTACCTGCAAGTAGAACTGATCAATGATTTCAAATATCATGATTGTTTACTAGGATCCACTTATGGTGTCTTCTCGTGTCCATGACTTAGGCCATTGGAATAAGAATCGAAGAGATAACTAGACACTTATATCGTTTTCAGGCACACTAATTCATCTTGCAGAAGGATATCCCATCATTACCAATTCTATAAGATCCTACAATATATTGGAATTAGATAATTCCACAAAGATAGCATAGACATTTGCTAGCTTTGTTGAGAAGAAAAGGCACATAAATAGTTACACAAAGTATTCTCTATAAGGCAACCAGGTTGTAACTTTCAATTATAGAGACCTAACCCTGATACCATCAACAGAAACAAGATCAATCTGTGACCTTTGTAGGCAAAAGATGCAACTTTCATTTCAGATCAGCCGACATTTTCTTCTAAGTTAGTGCAATGGTCTTTCATTGTTTCACATTTGAACAATCAGGGTTTTCACCATCATAAAAATAAACCATGCAATGTGCATTCTTTTTTACATCCCCACCCGCACCCTGCCTGGGTATTGTGGCTTTTCTTTTAAAAAGATAGTTGAAGAGTGATCATATGAAACAACGAGCATCCTTAAGTCAATTCTAAAAGACATAATCCATGTCTTCAGTTGCTTCCATCAAATACAGAGGGGACACCCTGGAACTAACTACAAAAGTTTCAATGGGACTTAACAAATTATTAAGGAAAATATTTAAGCAACTTCGTGCTCCCTAGTTCCAATATCCAAACCCTACTTATCCATGTGAATCTGTATATTTGTTCTCTCTGGAACATACTAAATGCCTTCTATAGAAGTTACAATTGGTCAAATGATATGACCAAGTTACATAAAAAAAATGAATACTTATAATAGAAAAATGCAAAGATGAATTATTATTACGATAATTCAGATTCATAGAGGAAGGGTAGCCAGTTAATATGGTTTCTAATAAGCAAAACCGTTACAAGTCTTACCTGTTACAAACATATGAAACATTAGAAACTGCCGGCATACTAGTCATAAAGTCTGATGCTACATGTTTGAATTTCTGAGGATTTCAAGGGTAAATTTGCTTTAGATAATCGGATTATATTTTGAATGATGGTTAGGGACTTGCTTAATATCACTGAGCTGATAAGTGATAATGACAAGTTCTTTCTAATTTTGTTCGTACTTCCTCGCTCTCTATTTCTGGTTCCTTGTGAACTATTAATATTGGATCAGAGTTGATTTTGCATCCTGTAATAGGCTAATAGATAGATGAAAATCACTTTCCTATTTTTAATCGGCCACTTTTTCATTCTCATATTCTTTCAAAATCAAGATTCACTTTTTTAGGATTCTTATTGTAATGGCTGTAGATGAAACTACAGCCCGTAACATTCAAAAAACCGATGCAGCTCACAACTGTATCTTTATACAACTAATATTTCTGGTCTTATTCTTCTTTCTAATCAATAAGGAACCGAAAATTTCAGTTCTTTGAAGAGATCCATACATATTGCTTTGTTGAAGAATAATTTTCCTTTACCTCTTCCTGTTGTAAGTATGCATTCAACTACACATAAGGAAGCGGCTAACAACATGGTGATATCTTGGATCTTTAATGTCTTCGCGAAAGAAATTAGCCAGTCTTACATTCGCAGCCACTTCACAGGTGACTAAAGAACTAAAAGGGATTTGATGTTGCAGATGGACACAGTGAATTAGAAAAGAACTTGCATGAAATCTAGCAGCAAGATGATTCTATGGACTTGTACTATAATCCTAAGGGTTATGGAATGAAATGTTGGCTTTGGAGGCACTCAGGCACCTAATTTGTGTCATTATCCATGTAACCAGGAAGTCAGAAAAACTAAATACAGTGTTATACAGAGGAATATGCTTATGCAATTTTTTATGGGGAGACACAAAAGTTTCTAGGAGGGTTACGCTAGTGTAAGAGGCTTATGCAATTTTTAACGGCCTTATGTTAAGTCTTGACCAGTTCTTTCAGGGGCCATTTCATTCTTGGTGGTACCTATTTAACCAATAGGAAAAATATAGCTCAATTTAATTAAATAACACCCTTGGAGCTCCTGTATAACAAGTCTCCTCTGTGATATCATCTCAGACTTCTTAGTTGTCTAGTTTTTGCCAAATTACCACCTCAGACAGATTCAATTCAAGATCCAAAAGATGTGTGCTGATTGAGTGCTCTGTTGGCCAAAAGGAGTATTCCTGTATGGTTTGGTTAATCATTCCATATTTTGTTTTGTGGGATATATATCATGAGAAATTATTCCAATTTCTTCACAAACGTGTCTCATTCCCATAGTCCACATACAGGCACTAATGACATTGATAAAAACATCATTTCTATTCTCTCACCCAGCCTGCAATTCAACCTAACAACACCTGCTCTTCCCAGATACCCACCAAATTCCACGACTATCAACTTCCTGACTATCTTATCAAATCATCAGGCAATCTTACACTCAATCAGGTACCCTTAAAGTTGACTAGAACAGATTCTAAAAAAGCTTAATCACATTGTGAAAGGCCTTTTTTTGCGATTCTCCTAAAATCAAAGATATCACTTACACAATAAATTTGTAATAAAGCCGAAATTAACCTCAATAAAAACACATTTTCCTCAACTATGTTAGCAGCCAATTGTTTCAAACCCCCCTGATAGACACAAAATTCGCACATCCAGATTCTAAATTGGCCAGAAGAAATGCCATCAATATTGTAAATATTCAAAATTTATACATCCAGCAAACACAATAAACGAAGTACATAAACGGTGATTCAACGTAAAACAGAGCATTACCATGAACGAGTCGTAGAAAAAGTGGTGATGATCGAACTGAGGAGAGCTGGCGAATAGTTAGGGCAGCAAACACCACACTGTTGGATCATGTGGTGCGCGCGGCCTCTGTTTTGTCCACATGATTTCGAGTTTCTCCTATCGAGATTTACAAAAAACACACAAAAGTTTCAAAATTTTAAAATGATGGACAAAATGTTTTCAATTTTCGTTTTCGAGCACATAAAATTCTAATTTTACATTGACAACCCTTCATAATATGTCAATCTTACTTTTGCTATACTTTTGCTATAGAATTGAGATTTTATAAAATAAATGTGTATAATAATGCTATTTTATATTTTTAAAATACCATGTAACATATAATTTAATAGAAATATTTTATTAGTTGTTGAATGCTAAAAATGTATGTTAACAACAATAAATGAATATTATTTTTTTATTAACCTGAATATCCAACCCGCTTTCCGAGCCGACTAATTCCAGGACGACCACCTGCTTTGCAGATAACCCGGAGTTATCGCATTTGAACCTCCGTAGCCATAAGAAGATTTTTATTTCTCCTTGCATTTGAACATGAGATTTCCTGGTACTTTTATCCTTTGAAACCAAACTCATACCAATTAGACACCACCCTTTTGGTTAAATGGATAGAATATTAAAACAAGTCAAACGTAAAGCATATTTAAATGTTTATAATCTCATAAATTGTATTATTAAAAAATATTATTATTTAAATAGCATAATTATGTAATCATATAAATTATCTATTTATATAAAAAAAATTGTCAAAAAAGTATTGACGGTTAACCCAACTAATTTTAATCCGTTTATTTTGTTGTCATTGTTTTATCTTTTGGTAAACAGTGTACGAGCCAAATGTTGTTTGTTAAGTGTTCGGCAAAATGCTTTAATGAAAGTCCCTTGTTTACCGTCCGGTTTCAAATTTGGTTCGAAAGAATCTAATTAATTGATAAATTAAAACAAAACAACTACTTTTAAACTAAAACATATATGCCTATTGAAATCTAAAACGACCTCTCCTAATACGATCAGTATAATACATGAAACCAATACGTCGTATCTATCCATCCTTATAGGCCGAGTCAATAATTTTTGACGAAAACATACTTTTTGCATAAACTCGAATGCCATCATGTCATAGTCCGGTTTGAATGAAAGTCCTTTGACCTGTGGGCATTTTTTCTAGTCAGCAACACCACATTATTAGCAGTGAACAACGACGTTATAACCAGTATCCAACTCTTAGCTCAGTACCCCACTACTCTTAGTATGTTGTTTGATGTTAACTAATCGATTATGATAAATCAGATCAAATTTTACAATTTCAGTATATAAATTTCGAACGTCAACGTATTAAAAGTCGTATCTTGATCACTATATCGACCATCGAAAACATCTGATTTTATTATGCAACTAAAAATGAAAATGGTAATATTTTGTGTGATCAAAGTGGAGTAGGAATTGGGGGATTATATTCCCTAATCCATAACAGCATGATCATCCATTCCATTTAAACCACTCCTAGACCACTTTTTTCATACGTATGTTTACATAAATTAAAAAGGTATTTGTGCAATGCAGCTAGATAAATTTCGATTTTAATGTTTAGTTTTTATTTTTTGTTTTTATTGATATAATATAATTTTATGTGGTTTTGAGAAAACGGTAATGTTTTTATTTTTTTAATTAAAATATCAATTTGAAGATAACATAAAAATTTATATAAAAATAAATCGATAATAATATCAAATTAACTATTTAATAGTTCTCGTTTTTTTGGCGTAACTTCTATAATTTAATTTTTTATTATAATTTAATTTAAATTTAATAACAAAGTAATTTATTTTTTGTTTAATAATATATTTTTTTATAAAAATAATAATCAAATATTCTGTTAGAACTCAATGATTATCTTAATTATATTTTAGATTTTTTATATTTAAAATGAATGTTTATCATGTATTTGATTATGTTTATCAGCAGTTAGTTACACGAATTTTAAAATAAAGCTTTAATAAGTTGTACTTACGTAAAATTACTTGTAATCTTAAATTTTAGGTAATACTTATCAATAAACAACATTCCATGCATAAAAAATGATTTTTAAGAGTTTTTGACAAATGTTTTATAATATAGTATATATTAATTTTGGTTTAATAATGTTATTTTTTTTTTTACAAAGATAATAATTAAACATTTTGTTAGAACTCAATTATCTTAATTATATTTTAGATTTTCTATATTTAAAATGAACATTTATTCTGTATTTGATTATGTTTCTCAGCAGTTAATTACATGAATTTAAAAATGTAGCTTCAATAAGTTATACTTACGCAAAATTACTTGTAATTTTAAATTTTAAGTAATATGCATCAATAAACAATATTTTATGTATAAAAAAATTAAGAGTTTTTATCAAATGTTTTATAATATAGTATAGATATACAGTTTAAACTCAAAACTTTTAAATCAGTTTAATAATTTTCGATTATTTTAACAGATTTAACTCGAAAAAAAACCAGTGTTTTTTAAAATTTTATTATCAACCAATAGGAATACACACACACAATATCCATGGTCTACTTTTGCAATAGGACATCACCTAAATGCCAAAATCAAGAAACATAAACAATACCCATGTTTTAAAGCTTTTCAACAAAACACCCAAAATTGGAATAGTGGTTGGAGAGTTGTTACACAAAACCAAAACAATTTCCCCCAAAATCAATACTTATACTCTTTTAATTCGCTCTGCCTTTTGCATCTCTGATCGTTTTCATCACTGACCATGAAAGACTCGTCAAAATCTTGGCAACCCTTTATAGCAAACTGTTGTTCTGTTGAAGACCATACAGTTTTCGGCAACTTCAGTAAGTCTAGGACTTCAAGGTCTGACTTCTCAAAGAATGTGACTCCGTCGCCGTCTTTTAGGCATGTGTCGTTCTCGGACCTTAGTCAGTCTTCCTCTGTACGTTTGAATGAAGACATAGCCCATACTTTTGGTCCTGATTTGTTTGATTTCAAACTCAGTGAGCTGCGAGCGATAACTCAGAATTTTTCGAACAATTTCTTGCTTGGGGAAGGTGGGTTTGGGACGGTGCATAAGGGTTACGCAGATGACAATATGAGGCATGGATTGAAGGCTCAAGCTGTTGCGGTTAAGCTTCTTGACATTGAAGGATTGCAAGGACATCGCGAATGGCTTGTAAGTTCAAATAAATGATTTTCTTTCATTATGATCAAACTATATACCTGATAATATATAATTAACGGTTGTCTGTTTTTGGAAATCATTAAAGGCAGAAGTGATATTTCTTGGGCAACTTAAGCACCCTAACTTGGTAAAACTGATCGGATATTGCTGTGAAGACGAAGAAAGACTCCTTGTATACGAGTTCATGCCCCGTGGAAGCTTGGAAAACCACTTGTTCAAGAGTAAGATTGTATTTTATTCGCAATTTTTTCAATAATAATTGTGGTGTTCATTGACTGTTAATGGTTGTAATACAGGGATATCAGTATGTTTGCCGTGGGGAAACAGATTGAAGATTGCAATAGGTGCAGCCAAAGGTCTTGCATTCTTGCACAGTGCCGATAATCCCGTCATATACCGTGACTTCAAGACCTCCAATATCTTACTTGATTCGGTATGCATAAATTTTCTTCAAAACTTTTTGAGACTAAAATACATGTTTTAAAGCACTAATTTCACTAAAATAATATTATTTTTTAATTGAAAAATACAAAATAAACTTCATTATTATATTAACAGGATTTCAATGCAAAATTATCTGATTTTGGACTGGCAACGATGGGTCCTGAAGGATCGAACACTCATGTGACTACAAGAGTTATGGGTACTTATGGTTATGCTGCCCCAGAATATATAAACACTGGTATTGCTCTAACTTCTAAAATATTAAAACAGATCAATTTGATTTATTTTAGTTCGGTTCGATATAAATTGATTTTGATTGAATCTAACTATGCACCAAACAGTTTGAACGTAATCGAATTACAAAAGTGTGTACTTTGACTTGGATTACAATGGAAGTTTTATTTATTTTTCAGGGTAAAATGCGTGAAATAGCAGCATACTTTTATAAATTTTCTTATTATAGCATTCTACTTTCAGAATTTTTTATTACAGTAATGTACTCTCAAAATAATTTTTGTTAGGGCATCAACTTTCAAAAATTTACCCGTTATAACATTGGATAACCTTTTAAATTAAATTTTCCATTATACCAGATTTCTTTGCCACCTCATCGTCCACGTAGGCTGTCCACGTGTACGATAGTGCTGACATGACATTTCTTATTATAACATTGTAGTTTCAAAATTATTTTATTATAACATCATCAATTTCTATTATAATATTATACTTTTAATTTTAATATTTTTATCATTTGAACATTGTAAATGTAATCAAATATGTTTACTAAAAATCATAATATCAAAAATTAAACATGTTTACAAAAGATCACAAAGTAAGCCATGAAATTTACGATGAACTCAATGAACGAATGGTTTTTTATGAATATTTTTATTCGTGAAATAGTGATCTTTAGTGAACATGTTTAATTTCTGATATTATAATTTTTAGCAAACATATTTGATTAAATTTGTAATGTTTAAATGATAAAAATATTAAAACTAAAAGTATAATGTTGTAATAGAAATTGGTAATGTTATAATATATTAATTTTGAAAGTACAATGTTATAATAAAAAATGTCATGTCAGTACTATCGTACATTTAGACAGCCTACGTGGACGATGAGGTGGCAAAGAAACATGGTATAATAGGTAAATTTAATTTAAAATGTTACTCAATACTATAACGAGTAAAATTTTGAAAGTACGATGCCCTAATAAAAATATTTTGAAAGTACATTGTTGTAATAATTAAAAACTGAAAATAAAATGCTACAATAAGAAATTTTTTAAAAATATGTTGTTATTTCACATATTTTACCCTATTTTTTTATTACAAGTTAAATAAAATTATTATAGTTAATGATTTGTGGTAATATGAAAAATGAACTTAAACTTGAAAAAATGTTTGAAATATTTTTTATTTTATAAATTAAATTTGAGTTTGTATATGTTAAAAATTATACTGAATTATAATAATAAAATACAAGAAAAATTAATTTAAATGTAATTTAATACAAAAAAGTTAATACAGTTTGATATAACATCTACCGACTGGATTAAATTTTCTTCTAAACCAAAGAAAAAACTGTATTATTTCAAAGCCAAACCACACGTTCTGGTTTCATTAAGGTTGGTTTATTGGACTTAGACTTATGATGACAATTGTGAAAACAAGAGCAAGATTGTGTCTAAAATGAAAAAAAAAATCAATCATCATTTTAGATTTTAACTGAACGTTTAACTATCTGTAATTTGAAAAAAAAAACTATTTAAATGTAATGGAAAATCTGTTTTTCAAAATATATCTTTTTAAAATTATAAACCTTTAAAATTGATTTTTAAAAAAATATTTTTTCAAACTAACAAGGGAATGAAATGCATGCACACATATGTACGTACGTACGTACGTACGTACGTACGTACGTACGTACGTACGTACGTACATACATACATACATACATACACATGTAATGTTGCTCATGTATATCTTGATATCCGTATGCAATTATTCTGATTTATTGCTGATGATTATATTAATATGTAAAATTGTAGGACATTTGACCACGAAAAGCGATATTTACAGTTTCGGAGTGGTTTTGTTAGAACTTTTGACCGGGAAAAGGGCAATGGACAAAACCAGACCCAAGAGCGAGCAATATCTTGTGGACTGGGTTAAACCATACTTAACTAGTAGTCGAAGGTTACGTTGCGTCATGGATCCAAGACTGGCAGGGCAATATTCAGTCAGGGGAGCCAAGGAGGTGGCTTTGTTAGCTCTAAACAGTGTGAGCTTAAACCCTAAAGACAGGCCAAAAATGACTGAGATAATCGAAACACTTGAAAGCGTTCAAAATCTGAAAGATATGGCAATTAGTAGTGGACAATGGCCTGTAGCTTCACAAAAGACTGCAAGAAATGCGGTTTTTTCTCCACAAGGGAAAAAAGAAATTAACGGAGATCGGATATATTGGAAGCAAACCCCTGTTGTTACCAAAAAACCGAAAGGATAAGAACTAAAAGTACGAGTTTATTAAAAAACGAATGTTCTTACTTATGTACAAATGCTTATATAATAAATTATATATACGTTTAAATTTTGACAAATGATGTTTGTTTATATGTACATACCCACATTATATTTCATGCCTTTTCCCCCCTTTCTATTTCATTAGTCTTAATGTGTCGTTGTGTCTCGTGCACCTAAGACTTAAAGACGCTGAAAACATATCAAGTTGTAAGTATCAAGCCCGAGTTTTCAAGAACTGATTTTTAAGATGCGTTCGTCCTAACTGACCTTTACTAATATCAGTTTGGACCCTAATCAATCGTAATAATCTTGTTAACAAAATACATAACAAAAAGTCAGTGCGATTATTGTTTTCGCCAAACCATATCGGGAAATATATAGAAATCATAGTTTGAGATGATTGTGAATTGTTTGAATGTGTAAGTTAATATTTTTTTAACAATAACTTTTACATTACAATAATAAATAATGATATCTGATTCAAATAAAATCAGTTACTATCAAAATATGATTATTTGAAAAAACTGATTTTAGAGTCAAATACAAATTCGGTTCATATGGTTTATATAAATTAACGAGTAAGATCATTTAAAAAAATTAATGAGGGAAGTCCTTACAGTTTCACTTTTATAATGGATACGGTCCCTCCTCTAACTCCTTCAGTTAAGTTTCCGTTAGTGAGGGGCAATTTTGTCAATTTACCCTCCTCCCCTCATCTTCAATAACGAATTTGGTCCCTCAAACTACTTTTCATTTTATAACATATTTTGTCCCTCAAACTAATTTACATTATTAAAACAGATTTGGTCCCTCAACCAATTTTTTATTTTTATAACAGATTTGTTTCTTCCCCAACTTTTATTTTTAGGATCTGGTCCCTCCTTTTAATCAATAAAATTTGGATGGTACAAACATATATCTTTTAAATATAATTAACAAAGTAATTAGATAAAATTTGAAACTTAGATTTTGCCATGAAATATTTTGATAAATGTTTTGTTTTAATTAGTTGAAAATTAAAAAAAAATGTTTTAAAACTAAATACTCGACAATATATTAAATAATAAGATATAAAAGCATAAGTTTAAATAATTTAATAAAACTAATTAATATACCAAAAAAATATTATAGTTAAATAAGAWATAAAAATATAAATTAACTATTATATATTAAAAATGATTATAATAAATAAATTAATAATTATCTAAAAATGTTTATAACACTATTTTATCATAATAAAACTAATAATCTTTAATCGAATAACTTTAAATTATAATATTTTTTATATATTGACCATTTTAAAATTTTAAAAATCTTTAAAACTCAATATTAAGGGTGTTTGGGATTGACTATTTGAAACAACTTATACTTTTCTATAAAAGCACTTATCAATTTATTATAAGTCAGAAGTGTTTAACTTATTCAAAAACTTTTTATAACCGGTTTGACACCGATATAAATTGTTTATCCAAACACTTAAAAGTACTTATTATCGGTGCTACACTGAAATAAATCACTAAATTATTTTTATAAACAATCATAAACACCCTTAAATAGAGAAAAATATTACTTATGTTGATTCCACTAATTAAGTTGGATGTATAATTATTTTCTTTGAAGCTTTTTAAAATATATTAAAATAATAAATTTATATAATATTTATAATATTGAGATTTTTTAAAATAAATTTTTTATTGAAGTTAAAGTATAAATTTTCTTCACAAAAATTATAATTCTTTTAAAATTTTAATTTTTTATTTAAATATAAAGAAATCGAAAAAGATGAAAATGGCAGCAGCATCGGCTTAAACAGTCTTGAATTCATTGGCCTCCTCCGCCCAAACCCTACACCAGGGTTTTGCGGTTTATCAACCCAAATTGGAAAACCCTTTGCTGAGATATCGTGGCCCTCTCTCAAACACACCATAACTCATGGCTCCATCTTCATCGCCGTCACCATCGCCAACATGAAGCTTTCCTCTAACAATTTCATCACCAAAAACCCTTTTCAAATCAAATCTGCCTCTTAATGGATTTACAGAGACTTAGAATCTCCAAATGTTCACCCTTAAAAAGGAACCCATTTTTATCAATCTCCACCCAATACAACCACTCAAAGCCACCGTCCAAACAGCCGCCATTGCAGCTCAAGAATCAAGATTTGATCAAATGGGTAACTTCAATTCTATCAAACCCATCTCTAGATTCGTCTAAATGTAAAGATATAGTCACACATCTGTCCCCCCAGCAGTTTGATAGTGTGTTTTCGGACATTAGGTGTTCTGTGAAACCAAGAACCGCATTGAACTTCTTTTATTTTGCTTCCAAGTCTTGTGGATTTAAATTCACTCTAAAGACTTACTGTTTGTTGATTCATTTGCTTGTTGTATCGAAACTTGCGTCCCCAGCTAGGTTGGTTTTGATTCAGTTGATTGATGATAAGCTACCTGTTTTGGTTCATGATCCCAAGAATAGACATACTGAGATGGCCACTGCATTCATAGATTTGCAACTAACATCTGAATCAGTTTTCGGTCTTCAGACCTTTGATTTGTTGATTCATGTTTATTGCACCCAATTCAAAGGTTTTGGTCTTGATCTTGCTTCGGATGTGGTTCGATTAATGGCAGAAAAGGGATTGTTTCCTTCTTTAAACACTTGCAACGTTCTCTTGAGTTCTCTTGTGAAGGCAAACCAACTTCAGAAAAGTCAAGAAATCTTTAAAATTATCCATAAAGATGTTCGACCGGATGTCTGTATGTTCACCACTATGGTTAATGCTCTGTGTAAAGATGGGAAGATTAGCGATGCTATGAAGGTATTATTGGAGATGGAGAAAATGGGTGTTTTACCAAATGTTGTAACTTACAACAACATCATTCATGGTCTTTGCAGGATTAGGAATTTGGAAGAGGCTTTTCGCCTAAAAGAGAAAATGATTAAGAAAGGTTTAACTCCTAGTCTTATTACATATAGTGTGCTTATTAACGGTCTGTTGAAAATGGAGAAATACAATGAAGCTGGTAGTGTTTTGATGGATATGACCGCCAACGGTTTTGTCCCAAATGAAGTTGTCTATAATACATTAATAGATGGGTACTGTAAAATGGGTGACATGAAGAAAGCATTGGATGTTAGGGATGATATGTTATCGAAGGGATTGAATCCAAATTCAGTTACTTTTAATACGCTTATTAAAGGTTTCTGCAAGACTAATCAAATGGAGCAGGCTGAACGGCTTTTGGAGGAAATGCTATCAATTAGATTAACCATAAATGTTGGTTCTTTTACTTCTGTCCTTCATTGGCTTTGTAAGAGTTTGAAAATGAACTCCGCACTTCGTCTTGTCAATGAAATGTTGTTACGAGATTTAAGGCCAAATGATAGTCTATTGACCACAATGGTTGTTGGGCTCTGTAAGCAGGGTAAGCATTCAGAAGCAGTTGATCTTTGGTTTAGGCTAGTCAACAAAAGATTTTCTCCAAATGTAGTGACCTCAAACGCACTTATTCATGGTCTTTGTGAATCTGGGAATGTTGGGGAGGCTATAAAGATTCTTAAGGAGATGCTACAAAGGGGGTTTCATTTGGATTCAGTTACATATAACACACTGATCTCATGGCATTACAAAGAGGCAAGATTTGAGGAAGGTTTCCAATTGAGTGAAGAGATGGCAAAGCAAGGGATTTTACCAGATATTTTGACTTACACTTCGCTGATAAATGGGTTGTGCAAAAAGGGTAAGATGGATGAAGCTGTGATGCTCTTGGAAAAGTGTAAACTTCAAGGTCTGACTCCTGATGTTTATACATATGGAGTTATGATTGAAGGGTTTTGTAAAGCTGAAGAAATCCAAAAGGGAAAAGATATGTTTAATGAGCTGCTCAACAAGAAAATGGAATTGAACTCGTTCATCTATAACACACTTATTAGAGCCTATTTGAAAAATGGTGATATGGCAGAGGCCCGTAGACTTTATAGTGACATGAAAAGTAAAGGGATTCGACCAACTTCCGTCACTTATTCTTCTTTAATACACGGATACTGCAATAGTGGATGTGTTGAGGATGCAAAGCTCATAATCGATGAAATGAGGGGGGAGGATTTGTGGCCAGATGTTGTTTGCTATACTGCTCTAATCAATGGTTATTGTAAGATGGGCCAGATGGATAAAGTGGTAACCACTTTGCAGGAAATGTCTTCATACGGCATACACTCTAACAAAATCACGTATACCATTATGATTGATGGGTATTGCAAGCTCGGTCAAACAGAAGTAGCTGCTAAGCTTCTTGCTGAGATGGAAGAAAAGGGAGTTATACCCGATATTGTCACTTATAATGCACTTGTGAATGGGTTTTCGAAGGAAGGGAAAATTGAGGAAGCCCTCCGTTTATTTGACCATATGTCTCAAAGAGGTGTAGATTTAGACGAAATAGCATGCACTTCATTAATTCATGGATGGAGCCAGAAAGCAGCTGTTAAGAATCACGAATGATCAAGGTCTCCTAAATGGTAGGTTCTTGATTTTGTAGATGAGATTTTAGACTAATTTTGTTTTTGTAATTTTACTTCATAAGTGGATGAAAATATATACACACTTATTTTGTTAGTTCTGAGTTTCTGGGGTGCTTGTTCCATTAAGAACTTGTACTTCCTTTGATTTGAAATTTTACTTAGACAAGCTGACTGTTGATTATAAGTAGGTTATAGTCTTTAGCTGTAATCTGTTTATATGAAATATACTTTCTGAAAGAAAATGTAAAAATATATGTGCATATTGATCTTTATTTTTGATAAACAGGATGAAAAGTTCTTTTATCTTCACAGGTGAATAAGACATTTGACCTGTTTTGGTGATGATAAATTTGCTTCGGCTCTGAGCAATATTCTTATGTCTTGGTGAGTCCTCTCTTATGATAGTTGTTTCTTGAAGTTCATTTTCATCAAATTCTGTGATTAAACATGAAATCTAGACTAAGGGGTAGTTTATTACGTGCTTACCGCCTCTTACCCGGTCAGAGATGGTGCTGTGTGTTTACGAAGCCCCTCTTACTGGTTCATGAGGTTGACTGAGGGGTTGTTCAGTTCGTTTTCCATTAAGACCTGTGTGGATAAAGTTGTTTGTATGATAACATATAAGTTGTTATTCGGTTGTTGTTAAACAAATAGTCTGAATGACATAAATGACTATTTTACCCCTCAGTCTATATATTTGATAAATAACTGTACATTTTTAAATTACAATGTACATCCAATCCAACTGATTTCTGCCTTCAATTGAGTCTAAAGCTTCAAATTCAATGATTAACCAATTTTCTGAGCATATCACATTCAAACTCCTCGTGATCAAAACTTGTTATCAAATTACAACCAAGTAAGAAGATACAAATTGATAAAACAGTAAAGAAGCACCCCTCAAATAATCATTGAGATGCTGACTTAGTGAGCTAAGGGAGGGACTGTTAGGGTTTGTTTGGTTGTTTTTTCATGAAGTCCTGCATGGATAAAGCTATCTGTGTGGATTAATCTGTCTGTATAGATTGAAAATGTATTTGTTTGGGAGGGCTTTTAATAGACGGAAGGAGGGTGTTTTTTTTATGGGAAGGGCAGGTTTGGAAAACACTTGGGCTTTCTGCATAAAGCTCCCCCCTAGAAACTTACTGAATTAGCCACTTTCTATATCATTAAGCCACTACCACACAGTCATGTATGGTTGACTGAATAAGCTGTGAGTCTTATTAAGCTTATTAAGCTGCTAACAAGCAATCCCTTACTCGGTCTGTGATTAGTGTTGACCCAAAACGCACTCTTACCCAATAAGCGCTTAGCCAATTTGTGTTGGTAAAAGGCCTCTGAACCTCGGCAACCCAAATTTAAGAAAATGCAAGTCTACATCTTAGTTTAATGATCCTTAATGCGATTTATCGTGTGTAAAGAATGCGAAATGTGCAAATATTTGCTTTTCTCGGCTTTAGATGCCTATATCTTCTAATCATTCACGGTTCAAGTAATCAAACATCAAAAAGATTGCATTTTGAAACAATTTGTTCGAAGATGATAATTTCTCGACATTTCTTCATGTGCTGCAGTAAGGTGGGATATATCAAAATGTTGAGCTTACTCCAAGAAGCATCAGGAAATGCTGCAGAAAATTATCTGAAGAGGCAAGCTTATCTTGGAACTGTTGCTATGTGAATTAGAAATTTCGATCTTTATTTCGTGTCTTTTTATATTTTCTTGTATATTTGTATCAAATCCAGGATTAAGCTTTCGAGGGATGATATCACAGAAGCCATGATATATAATTAGAGCCTTACTTGAAAAGGAAGGATATATACATGGACGGAAATGCGAAAATTATCCCTTTTTCGGGTGAGTTCCGTTGCAACTTCTCCTTAGAAAAGATATTAGATTTCTTCTTTGTTTGCTTCCTCCCGAAAGGAAACCTAAACAGGTAGCCCGGAGTCATCGCATTTGAACCTCCATGGCCACAAGAGGATTTTTATTCCTCCTTGGATTTGAATCTGGGACCTCCTGGTACTTTTGACCTTTGGAGCCAAGCTCAAACCAATCAGGCACCACCCTTGTGGTTAAACTTATGCATCTTTCGTTCTATACAGACAGATTAGTCCACACAAACAACTTTATCCATGAAGGAGTTGATGTAAAACCAACCAAACAACCCTTTAATGCATTAGTGACTTGAAACTTTAGGGTCCTTTTGTGTTTGACTGAATATTTTGGAGGGATTTGGATTTCGTGGAAGGATTTGGAATCTTTGGTGTTGGTTTGTTGGATTTGGAATGGAATTGAATTCCATTCTTTACAAGTAATTTATAAGAAAAAATTAAAAAAAAATTAAGTTTTCTTTTTATTAATTGATTATTACAGTTCACAGAAAGTGTTTTAAACATATTTTTAAACATTATTACAAACAGATCTTATGAAATCCCACGGAATACCAACTATCCCATGGGATATCTAAATCCCATGTTTGTGGGATCTCAATTCCGTGCTTTTCTTTAAACCAAACACGGGATTGGAATGAAATCCACTTCCAAATCCCGTAAACCAAACGGGTAGTTAGAGTTTTACCCCAACCCAAGTTTTAACTCCTTTTAAGAGTATCACCTAAATGAAAGGATTTATGTTGAATTTGCTCAAGATCTCAAATGTTAATCTATTTGAACGTCACACATTCGATCGTTCACTGCAGGGCTTTGGTCTTATGAGACAGATGATCAAACGCTACGTCTGTTAGCTTGAAGCATCAGAAACTGTATTACGGACTTCCTGCTTTGCTTCCGTTCTGCTACACTGGGCTTCCACAAAACAGAGACTCTATATATATTCCTTGTTGACACAGAGAAAGAGCTTCGTTTTCCATTCGTTTAGTAGCAGAAAGAAAGGGACACGATTGAGCGTATGCTAGAGGTATCTGTTCATGAAAAGCTCGTAGACGATCATGCTCATGTTGTTACTTTAAGATTGAAAAAATGGAATGTATGTGAACACATATTTTGGCACACATAAAGATGGATGGTTTTGTCTAAATGCCATGCTAGCTGATTTGGAAAGCTAACCTAACCACCGTTGGGGGCCGGCTCAACTTTGAAAGAAAGGCTAGCCCTTGGGGATCCTTCCTATAGATCCTCGGTTCGAATTTTTTCACAGTCATTGGGGATTTTCCTAACTGTTATCTTCTGGATTCTATGGGATTAGTCAAGGTATTTCCAAGCGTGCCCGGATATCCAACTGTTACCAGAAAGGAAGAAAAAGCTAACTGAACCTTGCTTGATTCATACTTAAGCTGAACCAATATATAACATATTTAAGTTCGAATCTTGCGGGAGACGAGCTTGAACCCCTCTGTTAGCCTTAGCTGTTGAGTCATCTTTGAAATGCCTCATCATATGTGGTTCCAGGGACGTGGTCTGTGTGGGGCCCGTCATTGTTGTCAGTAATCAACCTTTTGCTCAAATATTCAAAAACTTTTTTCTCAATTTACAAACCAACAACGTGATGGAAGATGAGCTTATTATCTGGTATTTGGTTCAATTTTGAATCCATTCGACTTAAGGTCAAAGTAAGGTTATACGAGTACAAATAAAGTCGTAGCTATTAGCTGAACCCGTTTACTAGTCTCAAATGGATCCCTCGGTTGAAAAGTCTCGATAGATGTCCAAAAACACAAACTAGTGGCATCACATGATATAACGTGGTTAGGTTATTGTAAACTTCGACCAAACTAAACATGTGTTTATATCAAAACGACATGGAAAAATCGTACAACTAAAATCTCGTTTTATTCAAAATTAGTTAGGCTCGATAGTTTGTGTATATGATGGTAGATGATCGTTGTATTAATATTGTAACTATATGAACGTCAATTTTTATTTTATATAACGTATCATTTTAAACGTAAAACACCATCTTACTTTATTTTTCGTCGTTCTATACTAAGATGAATCATTGCAATTCGTGTCAACGTCAAATCCTAGGACGACTAATCCCAGGACAACTACCCGTTTCGCGGGTAGCCTGGAGTCACCGCATTTGGCCACAAGGGGATTTTTTTTATTCCTCATTGGATTCAAATCTGGAACCTCCAAGCACTTTTGATATTTGGAGCCCAAACTCAAACCAATCAGACACCACCCTTGTGGTTTTTGTGTCGGTTGTTAATTACCAAATAAACTAAATTATTTATATCTTTTGTAGAAAAGGAATTTAGATATTTTTAAATAATATGTATCATGATGTTACTGCTCAGATCCTAAAACCTCGATGTAAAGGAGTTTACACGAACACCCTTTCGTTTACTGGACGTATTTCAATTGAATTTTTGAATGTGTTAAAGATAGATGGTAGTTTACAAATGGTTTAAATGATTGGATATTTTAGTTAAATTTAATTGAAATGAATTGATTCAGATTTCAGACTTCAGACGTTTATCAGTTTATAAAAAACAAACATTCTTATTGATTCAGATTTCAGACTTCAGACGTAAAAACAACCAATCTGATATTGTGATATATATATATATATATATATATATTAGTCGATTTAAGGTAGGACGGGGGATATTAGGTATCCGTCAACAAGCGTTTTAGATGCATGCATTTTACGGAGGGTGCTTGTGTCGTTCTTTCTTTGTATATGTTTTCTCTGTCTTGTTTTTTGTTTCATTTTTGTTCTTTGCATATGTTTTGTCTTTCGTTTTTCTTTCTATGTTAGCTTAATATGTGTTAGGCTTGCTTAATACATGCCATTTCCTATTCTCCCACACTTTGCTACGAGTCAGGGGTTTCATAGAAACAACCGCTCTAACCTCCGTAAAAGTGAGGATAGCGTACATCCCACACTTTCCATATCGTGCTTTCCACCAGGATATAATGGGTTTGGTTGGCTGTGAATGATAGTGACAGTTACATTTTAGCGAAACCAAAACTACGAGTACATATGATATAGATCATTATTATACATATCTAAATAGATGAAAGTTCAAGAAAATATAAGAAAAATAAAACTCTAATAAAGCTATAAAACATTTTTGAGTTTTTTTGTTTAATTTTTATATACATAATGGGAAAATGACCAAAATAGCTCTTTTGGCCGGTTCAGTTCACCTCTTTAGGGGCCGTTTACCAAACACTTACTCGGTAAGTGCTTACCAGTAAAACTTAACACTATTATTTACTTGACGAGTAAGTTTATCAGGTAAGCATTTGGTAAACGGCCCATTAGTCAATTTTCTTCCATACTCACTAAAAAGTTAATACCTCCACAAGTGTCGAAGCCACAACTTGGGAAGGGGTGTTATCAAAACAAGAAAATTTTCATATTTGAAAGGGATGCGACTCGTCTTGAAAAGTCGGAAGGAACCTTTTAACCCTCCGCAAGTTTCCCACTCCGCTGGTCGTACACTTTCAACCCTCAACAAGTGGCAAGCTTGTCTTGAGAAGTGGGAGCGGGACTGAGTTATTTTAGAAAAATGTTCCTTCTGCAAATTACGACAAGGACATTTGTGGAAGTATTGACTTTTTGATGAGTATTAGAGAGAGTTGGCTAGAAAGTGAATTCAACTTGATAGAATGACTGTATTGGTCAATTCATCTTTGAGATTAATAAAGTTCCTAAAGCAACCGTGAAGCAGATTTATTAAATATTAAAAATTTTATTATATAATTGTATATTATGATTTATTTAAATCAGAGTCCGAACAAAATCAACTTGGATCTAGCTACTCCAGCTAAAATATAATATGTCTTAGAGGTTGTTTGTTTACCTCTTAATAGTTCAATTAAGAGGCAGTCTCTGAATCGTTAAGAGGTGAATCTTGTTTGACCAAAAAAAATAAAAATTCTGCCTTTTAATGATTCTAAAACTCTCTGAATGATTTTGTATCATAAGTCTCCCTTAACCATTAAACACCCTAATTTCATTGTAAACAATTACCAAATAATAATATTTCATTATACACTATATCATGAGAGTCTCCGCATGAATTGCTAAGGATCCAATAAGTCCAACATTTATTCCTTCAGATGTGTCAATTGGGCAAATA